TTTATTTATTATTTTTATTTTATGTGTATGAGTGTATTGCCTGCATGTATGTGAGTGCACCCATGTCATGCAATGCTGCGGAGGTCGGAAGAGGGCTTCAGATTCCCTTGGAACTGGAGTTAAGGACAGTTCGTAGCCGCCATGTGGGTGCTAGGAATCCAACACAGGTCCTCTGCAAGAACAGTCAGTGCTCTTAACCGCTGAGCTGTCTCTCCAGCCCCACATGCTTTACATTTAATCTTCAAATTCCAGAGGCATCTGGGTAGCTTTATGTCCACTTTACAGATGATAAAGCAAGGCAAAAGTTTTCAGGATAGGAAATGGCAAACCTGTCCAGTGAGGGTGAGGGTGCACAGTCCACTTCCTGAGGGTGCCATGCACACACACACCCACGAAAGCTATCACTGCAGGTGTGTAGGGGTGTTGATAGTGTTAAGCTCTCAAGCATTACCCTAAGAATCTTACCTGACCCTCCACCTTATACCACTCTTCCCCTCTCCACCTGTTTCAATCAAAGCATTTCCTAGAGGGATGGCAATCACATGAGGGCAATAGATAGCTTCCAGGGCTGCTGGTGGGGTAGGGACTCCAGAAGCAGGAGGGAACTACACCTGACAGGCTTTGAGTGGCAGGGAGAGACTGAGAAAGGTGATCTAGATTTGGTCAGCAGAAACACTTCAACTTTCCACCATAGTTTCCACCTGGTCTTTAGAATTCCTTACCCTGGAAAAACTGTTCCAAAACCTGGTGAGCTTAACAATAAGGTTGCTGTTGGCTTATTTTCAAAAGCTGATTTAAAAAGGCCAAGCAGCGCCCTCCTGCTATACTCTCACCTCCTTTCTACTTTAACATTCACTGTGGTTGCAAATGATGGGAACATCTGTCCCCTGGGAATCAACAGCCCCAAAGTCCAGTATAGCTGGGTGAACTGTCTCTTCCACAACTTCATGTGCAGGAAAGTAAGCCATTTCTGTGAAGAAATAAAAAGTTGATGCTACCTGTGGAGGTGAGGCTTTATGCTTCCCACCACTGGGAAGGCAGCATTAAGCATTATGTTTGGTATTCTGCAGACACAAAGTAAAGTTTTCATATACTTGGTAATATGGTGGGGAAATCTGGATGATCAGGAAACTACATCATTTAAAAGCTTTAAACACTTCAAGAAGTATACATGTAAACAAAGTCTCCACTGGGGAATATGCTATGGAAGCCAATTAAGCATCAACTAACTTGCCCTTCATTTCCACTTTTGTCTCATCTTGGACCAGCTCCAGATGAAACACGATTAGGTACTGATCCTACAGACCTGAGGGCCCACCCTCTGCTGTAAAAGGAGACCATATTTTATTATCTGGAGACAGGCAAGGAGATAATAAATCAAGAAAAGCTGAAGTTTGACATATAATGGCATGGTTGGATGTGGCTGGAAAATACTCAAAATAACACATCTCTAAATGAGCAGCTCACAGCCAGGAAATATGTCCAACCCCTACAAGTGTTACCAACTATACTATTCCCTACATCACAAGGACCTTTCAGTTGGTCACACTTGGAGGCAGCCCCAGCAAATGCCCACTGGAAAGGCAGGTGAAGGCTGTAAGCCACAGCTCTACATCTAGTTTGGTACCCAGACTGTGGAAGATTGCACTGAAAGGCCACCATTCCTGAGCAGAGCAGCCTTTTATGGACAAATGAGCGAAGAGGGCTTGCTGAAGAGCTAGACCAGGTGAGTGGCTGTTGCCCTGACTTACCATATTCTTCTGGCACCTGCATCCCAAAAAGTCCCAGGCTCTTCAATTTCTCTAAAGTATCGACTGGGATTTTTCCCTCCTGGTCAATTTTTCGAGAGTCCACTGACAAGAGGAAATATATTGATTAAACAAAATATTAAATAAGCTATGTTTTAGTACACCAGTGCCAGTGGCAGAAAATTTCTAAAATTTAAAAATTGTCTAGTCATGATCCCTCAGTAAACTGTTGATTTTATACAATTAGGCCTACAAGAACTGTATTTCTCACTTCATTACTTTTTTCACATGTTTTATGGAACTGTTTGCATGCTTTGAAATAATAAAATGTAGGAAGGGAAAAAAACTTTGTTTTCAAAATCACTAGTACCAAGTGAGTCTCTTTCTCCTGACCCAGTCACCAATGTACTTTTACCACGTAAAACAGCAGTAAATTACAAATATCTGTGACAGATTTCTGTGGACATACTATGACTGTTAATCTTCGTCAACCTGACTGAATTTGGAATCACTTAGGAATCACACCTCTAGGTGTGCCTTTGACAGCTTCCAGAGATGCTTAACTGAGGAGGGAAGACCCTCGCTGAACGTGGGTAGCACCACTCCAGGGCTACAGTCCTGGGCAGAATGAAAAGGGAGGAGGAGCATCTCCTGATCTCCATCCTGTTCCATGTAGAGACATGTGAGGCATGAGCAGTCACAGCTGAGACCTGCTTCTGTCACCATACTTTCCCCTCTGTGATGAACCATATTCTTAAACCATGAGCCAAAGCAAACCCTCTCTTAAGTTGCTTCCTTCTGACATTTTGTCATAGTGATGAGTTAAGTAACTAATATACATGCTAAACTTGATTTTTAAAATAATCATGGGTGGTACCATCTTGAAAATGAAAAAGCAAATACACAGCTCCCAGAATTATACTGCAAGGTCAGGCTAGGCAGTGCTAAACAGACAGTCTGGCTTAATTCTACCTAGTGTTCAAAAGGAGCATCACCTTCACTAAAATCCATAGTTTCTGAAACCAACTACTCCACGTAACACTAACTAAATCACTGCTCCAAAACTCCTTACTCATGGGGCTAGAGAGATGGCTCAGTGGTTAAGAGTACTTGCTGCTCTTGCAGAAGACCCTGGTTCAATTCCCAGCACCTACATAGTGACTAAGATCTGTCCATAACTCCAGTTCCAGGGGATCCAAAGCCTTCTTCTGACCTCCACAGGCATTGCATGACATGAGTACACTTACATTTACATGCAGGCAAAACATACATACATACATGTAAAATAAAAATAATATATTATTTTTTTTTAATCCTCATAATCACTAGGGAAAAAGTGAGCAACCACTAAAACTATACATGCCCCAAGGTAACTGCATATGCTTTAGCTATGAAATTAAATATCATCACTATTATAAAGTGTTAAAATCTATACTTACGATTCTTTTAATATATGAGTCAATAGAGAACTATGGGTTTCACAAATGTAACACAAATCTCTCAAAATCCAATTCTCCTGCTTTTGTGAGTGCTAGGTTCACAGGTGTCTGCTACTATGCTGCTAACGTAAGGAAGAAAAGTCTGCTCTTGTTACCCCGCTCAATATCATAAAAGAGACTGGCCAGTGTAGTATACCCAAGAAAAGAACACCAGGGCTGAAAGTAGAAAACTGTCTATCATTAACACAACCATCTGTAGAAAACACTGTAAGATCTACCAAAGGAAAAAAGCTTCTAAAGCTATTAAGTGAGTTTAATGCAGCTAAACTAATATATGCTTAATTATTTGTTAATGGTGAAATTAACAAATGAATCTAGTTGAAGGAAGTAGGTCCCAGGGAGCACATTTTATTCCCTGCCCCTGAGGGACAGATACAAGAGCTATAGACAAAATCTGTTACACTAACAGAATATAAAAATGGCAAATAAACACATAAAAATGTCTCAAAAAATGAAAACATAAACAAAAAGAACATACTGTTTCCTAGATTTCTGTTTTTATCCTAGATATAGAAAACACTGGTAGATAACAATTTTATAAACACACACTTCTTCGGGTACTCAGTATTAGCAAAGGAGCATCTGGGACTCTTATGAGGAACAGAAGATCTACTTAAGTCTGGGTGGATGCTCAGCAGGAGGGTATTATCACCTGCTGGCTGAGATAATGCTAGACCATAGACTTAACCTTAGTAAAACCATAGGTCACCTTATGTAGCCATATTCACCAACATGTGATTAACAGGTTTGGACTATACAGCCTTAGCTATTTTTATCACACTTTTTGAGCTATTTTTCTAATCATTTAAGTCATGTTTTATACAAGTTTGGGGCTGCCACAGCTTGGAAACATTTAAAATCGGGCCCTTGCCATGGAGAGCTGGAAGAGCACTGAACTAGATGTCTTTATTTTTAAAAACATTTTATTTTTTTCATTTTATGTGTATGAATGTATTATCTGCATGTACATAACTACATCCATGTCATGAAATGCTGAGGAGGTCAGAAGAGGGCAGTGGATCCCTTGGAACTGGAGTTATGGAAGGTGGTTAGCTGCCATGTGTGTTCTGGGACTTGAACCCAGGTCCTCTGCAAGAGCAGCCAGTGCTCTTAACTGCTGAGCCATCTCTCCAGCCCTTAGATGTCTTTTAACTAAACGGAAATTGAGATGATCCCTGAAGGTTAGTATTATGACTAGAAAGTATTTCTAACTTATAATGACACTCAAGGGGGCTTCTTCACTCTCTACTGCTTTTAATGTAAGTATCAATCCAATTACCCTTACAACAGATATGGGCTACAATAACAAAAACCATACATACCCTCTTCAGTGAAGAATTTTTCTACAGGTCCCACAAACTGATTAATTTCATTAAGTTCATCTTGACTAACCTCTGGAAACGGAAAAATTCCTTTCTAAAAATGAAAAGCATTTATGAAAAATTAATATTAAGCAACTTCTCATTGTAATATTTATAAAAGGGGAAGGGAAAAAAATGTGCTGTGCTCCACATCCGGACAGCGTGATGTGACCCAAGGAAGGAGAAAGTTAGTTCACAAGATGCTTCAGATATAGGGCATAGGTATGCAGCAGGTTGAGCCCTGGTTTTTATCAGTTTCCTTATCAGTAACAGTGGAGTCCCAAACACAAGGAGCCTGGGACTCACACTTAGATCCCCTGTTTACTAATTTTGAGGCCATCAATACATTTCAGCAGTACTTCCATTTTCTCACCCACAATGCGCAGGTCACATTTACTCAAGATCCTTGTGAGACTTGTGGGACCGTGAATATGAAAGCTCTTCAGTGAAATGGAAAACTACATCATCAGTCTTTGTGCTCAAATGCTATCTGCTAAGAACATATTCTAATCCCCTTGAACAGCCATCTTATCTCATGGATACTGGTGCCCTCTGCTGAACACGTGAGATAGCAGGACAAGACCACATCAGCCTGAATTCAACCTGTTACATGTGTGACTTTACTAGAGCAACTTACACAGCCTCTCTCAATGTGGTTTCTTCTATATTACACATAATTGTGTTCAGCTCAGAAGATGACTGTGAAAGGTCAGAAAGAACACAGGTCCTGGAATATGATGTGGCTTCTAATCTCTAGTGGCCAAGGAGCCAGTATTCCCTCCTGGCCCCTACACCCCACGTTGTCTAACCACCTGTGACCATCTAAGCTGCAACTATCCCTATAGTTGTGGCTATGAGGATGTAGCTTTGGACCTACAGCTGATAAACAGAAGCAGGTCATAAGATTCCAGGTCCAGGTGTCCTGTATCTCCTCTTGGTCTCTCTTACGACAGAGACACCCTTAATCTTTCCCTAGCCTTGGTCCCTCTACTCAGCTACCTGATTTGTTCATTTTCACACTGTGCCCAAATCTATTTGCTCCTCTCTGGCCCTAATTTGAGAGGCCTCCAGGTCTCTATCCCAAAGAGACAGCTGACTTACTAGAATCTGCCACTATCCATCAGCACTCCACTGTCAAAGTAAACTATAAGGGAAACCCTCACTATCTATAGCTCTCAGAACAAAGCTGTCCCTTCTCTGCATACAAAGAAGCTCAACCCACATCTACCCCCATCACCTTCACAGCCTCAGTCGTCATCTGGTCTTGGTTAATGGGCTGTGTGAGAGTTAGGTGATTTTGATCCCAATGGAAAGGCCAAGCTAGAAGAAACAGCCTGGCAACTAGCTGGTCTTCAGCCATATCAAAGGGTAAATACTGCAGGGAGAGATTCTGGGGGGCAGGAGGAAAACACTCTCTGGTAACAATGGACAAAAAGTGAATGGAGCACACCATGAGAGGGAAGCTTATTTTCAACAAACAGCTTTCAAATTGGTAAAGCAGTGGAAGTTGTTATTAAAGTAAACCTACTGCAGAAGCCAAACACACAAAATAGATAAAAGCCAAGTAGTTGTAACTGAGTCAGCCAATTTCACACAAACCACCCATCAGCCTCCCATTTAACCCTGTGGCAGTGTTAGGTCCAACTGAGCATAGTAGGGCAGCCACTTGCCTAGATAACCAGGGCACTCTCTCCTTACTCTGAGACTCTGTGTATTACTGTGACTGTCCTGCTCACAGCCCAGAAAAGTTTTGAGAGATGGTATTGGCTTAATCCAGGAAGCTACCTAAAAGTGGTCAACGATAAAAGAAGGATTTACTTACTGTAGGACTCAGTGTGGACTATGAGACTAGAGGAATCAAAGGTGTCACTGGAGACTGGGTTGAACAACTAGAATCACAGAGTTGCTATTATCTATGACAAAGAGTCTGATGAAAGAAGCAGGACTGGGTGGAGATCAGGAGAGACTTTTCATACATACTCATTAGAGATGTCTGCCCATTAGATAGCCAAGTAAAGCTTCTGAATAGAAAGGTAGACACAAGTCTGGAGTTAAGGGAAAATACTCACGTTGGGGAAATAAATCTGATTCATAAGAGTAGAGATAGCATTTAAAATCAAGACAATGAATTAGGTCATCAAGAGGATGGTTGTAGATGAAAAGAGAACTCCATAGACTGAGCTTAAGAAAACTTCAACTCTGCTAGGTGTGGCATACACCTGTAATTCTAGCACCCAGAAAGTGAGGTTGAAGCCGAAGGATCTTGAATTTCAGGCCAGCCTGAGGTTAGGTAACAAGACCTTGTCTCAGTACAAGTAAGCAAACAATTCAATAACCACCCCCTCATAAAAAAGAACAACAAAGCTCTCCAACTTCAACTGGACTAGTAGAAATAATGGCCAATGTCCACAGATTGAGGAGACAAGGAAGAACTATCAAAGTAGGTGGAATGGTTTCTCGGAAGCCTGATGACTGAAGTGTGTTTAAGAGGATAGAGTACTTAACTATGTCAGAGACCACTGATGAGCCAGGAGTAGAGTAGGAATAGGAGTAGGAGTAGGAATCAGAAGAAACAGTTTAGGTAAGGAAGTGTGGAGGTTACTACTGACTGGCAGGACAAAGCCTGAGGGTACAGGTTCAAGAACCAAGAAAGGATCTACAATTGAGTAGCTGAAAAAGGTTAGAACTATCCTTGAATATGTGAGAAGGCTGGGGCAACCAGTTCAGCCTTTGCTAGACATAGATTATAGTACGGTATTATGCTAGAGTTCATTATGGTAGTAAAATGTAGATGACACAGAGGACAGCTAACTGTTGGGGTTCTCACTGGTTATAAAGATATTAGCAGTAAAATTGGAAGCAAAGCTGACAGAATAATGATAGAGTCGGTGTGGCCAGAGATTTAAAGACTGAAAGAGGATAAACAATGAGTTTTTTCCTTCACCAAGCTGTTCAAAGGCGTGAGGACCTAAGATATGGCGCCCTCAGTTCCAGGTGATGGAGAAAACAGTTCCCACACTTTATAAAGTACCAGCTCTGAACAGATTTCTAGTAGGCAGCCACTCTTGGTCTGAGTCTTGGCTTCTGCTTTAAGTAGTCAGTCAGACAACATGATAGGGCTGTTCTAAAGAGAACATTCTTAAAAAGACTTGAATAGAGGGATCCTGAAGCAGACAGCCTGAGAGGGTGGGTTTGAACCTCCATCGGGCTAGGGGCTCAGAGCTCAGCAGATAGCCATAGAGTGCCGGGTTCTGGCCTCCAACTACCAGAGGGCCCGACAACCCAGGGGACTGCCTGACAGACCCTGGATCCTGCGTCCACATGGTGGTGAGCTTCACCTAATTGCACCATACCATCCCCCTACCTGGGATTTTGTGAGACGCCCCCACAAGGCCCCAGGGCAGATCTGGCTTTGGTAGGCTAAGGCTGAGATCCTAGCAGACAGCCTGAGAGGTAGGTTCAGACCTCCATTGGGGTAGCTGCTTGGAGCTCAGCAGACTGCTGGAGAGTGCCAGGTTCTGGCCTCCCTCTGGCCTCTAACTACCAGAGGGCCTGAGGACCCAGGGGACTACCTGGCAGCCCCTGGATCCTGCCTCCACATGGTGGTGAGCTTCCCCTAATTGCGCCATACCATCCCCCTACCTGGGATTTTGTGAGGCCCCTCCCAAGGCCCCAGGGCAGATCTGGCTTTGGTAGGCTAAGGCTGAGATCCTAGCAGACAGCCTGAGAGGGTGGGTTCAGACCTCCATCAGTGTAGCCACTGGGATCTCAGCAAAACACCAGAGTGCCAAGGTCTGGCCCCTCTCTGGCCTCCCTCTGACATAGGGTTAACAAGCACAGGACTGACTTGAGAGAGCCTGCCTCTACTTGGTGAAGGAAGCCTGAGTGTACCTGACTAGAACCTGAACTGGGCTTCTGTGGGTACCCGAGAAGCCATCAGTTCCTTCCAAAATAAACCTGAGAGAACCTGAACCCTGTACTAAACAGCTTTACACAACCAATAAAGAAAGGATATAGGCACCCAGATAATACAAACAGAAGCATACTTCAACTTAATTCTCATATCAGAATCATAAACAACAAACAAAATTCACATGCCAAAACCACAACAAAAGAATAATAAAATGGAAAGCCAAAATACTATGTCCCCACCAAAGCCCACGAATCCTGTA